GTTTCCAACTCCACGTCGGGAGACAGCGCCTGTCGCCCCCGGGGCGGATCTCCGACCGCGAAAAGCGATCCGGCGGAGGAGTCGCCGGCACCAGCCACGTCAGGGGCGGGGAAGGCGGAGCCTGGGAAGGGGGAGAACGGAGGTGCTGGGGCCGGGGTACCGTCTCCGCACTGTCTTCCACTTTGTGTGGATTTTTTAAAAAAAGTTACTCTTTGCCCCTTCAGTAAAAGTTTTGCGGGGGGTCGGGGGGTGAATTAAAGAAGGGCACGTAAAATGGGGAGATGGGTTACTTTGATCAAAGTTTTAGGGTTTTACTAGTGGATTTTAAAATCTCCGTGATTAATTCCAAGCAAGAATGCATTTAAGCGTGGGAAGGGAAAGCCAGTTCCTTCTTTTACTCTTTCTTTCATTCATTCCCCGCGGCCGGCGTCCCCCGCCCAGTCTTCGGTCTCAGGTGTGACCCCGGCGCCAGCGGCCCCTTTAAGAACTCACCTGTAGCCACCGCCTCGGAAGCCGCGCTGGTTGAAGTTTCGACTGCACCTCGGAGCGGACGGCTGGCGGGACTGGACCCCGCGCAGGGGCTGAGCTACCCAGTTGGTAGAAAAAAAATCTCGCGGAAAGCTCTCCAGGTCGCTTCCCAGGTCTTCGAGCCTCTTCGGGATAACAGGGAGGTCCCGGCTCTGAGGTCCAGAGGGAAGAATGTGCCCAAGGTCACCCAGGATTGGTAACCAAACTGGAAACTCGGAGACCGAGCTTTCAAACCCGGAAGACTCTTCCCAGTCGGTGAACTTGACAGCCTTTCCCCGAGGCCATAGCCTTGGGACAGAAAGGGAAGTCCGGGGAACCTTGTACTGTAACCGTAACAGCTACTCAGAGGCATGCTGGCCACTGCTTTCGCTTTCCCATCGCACCTGGGAACCCAGACTTGGGAGGACCCCACTGGACCCTCTTTCTCAGTTTAAGGTAAAGGAGCTGAGGTCTGGAGAGAGGGAGCAAACTTGTCCAAGGACATCTACGCGAACCGGTGACAGCAGCCCAGAACCAGGTCTCCTGATTCCATTCCAGGGCTCTTTCCACTGTGAGTTTTGGGCGACTTCGGCAGCGGTCTGTTGGTCTATCTGCAGCAGATCTCTTTGCTCCCCTGGATCAAGCACCTTGGGAGTTTGAGCAACAGTGAAAGCAACATTTCATAGAAGAAATGAATGGACATGTGAAAGGAAGCTCTTAAAAGCAATGAGCTTAAATAGAGGGACTTCTTAAAATAGTGAAATGGGGTGTTGTTGTTTTTTAATAGTGAAAATGTCTGCTGTCAGGCATGCTATTATTATTGATACTGCCTTGAGGAACTGGGATTCCTCTCCAAGAATGGACTCTCCAGAACTCAGAAGGAGGAAGGTATTTTGCTCTCTGCCTTAATATCATTCATTGTTCATAAATGTTCACTTGCTGGGCAATGGGGATAGAAACAAATAAGATCGGAGCCATGCTCTCAAGGACCCACAGCCTACTAGCAGGACAATGCAGCTTTTCCCAGGAGCCACGGGAAAGCCGAAAACAAAATGTGTGTGAGTTCTCAATGTCATCCTAGTCCTCCCCTAGGAGGCAGAGGAGACAAGAGGGCCTGCTTGTCATCCTCTAGCCCTATGTGGCTGTCAGCAGTGTCCTGTAGTAGAAATGAAGCTAGTCCTTGTTCCACCCTTAGGGGCCAGGACAAGTCCAAGCCTGGTATGAGCAGCCTTTACTTTTCATCCCTCCTTTCTATCCTATCTGTGTTAGTTATCTATAGCTGCATAACAAATTCCTCAAACTTTAGCGACTTACAAATTAGTAGCTTAGTAATCTAAACAGCAATAAACATCATCTCACCGTTTCTGTAGGTCAGGGATTCAGGAGGATCTTAGCTGGATAGTTCTGGTTTGGGGTCTCAAAAGATTGCAGTCAAGATATCTATAAGGGCTGCAGTCATCTAAAGGTGTAACTGGGATTAAGGGAGACTCTTCCAACATGGCTCACTCACAAGGCTACTCAGTTGCTGGCTGTTGGCAAGAAGCCCAAGTTTCTTACCATGAAGATCTTTCTATAGGGCTTGAATGTCTTCATGACATGGTGGCTGACATCCTCCAGAGCAAGTGATCCAAGAGAGCAAGGCAGCAGCCACATCTTTCATGATCTAATCAGAAGTAACATCTATCATTTCCACGATATCCTATTGGTTACTTAAGTGAGCCTGAAGAGTATGAATAAGGAGATAAGGAGGTAAGAACCATTAGGGGCCATCTTGGAGACTGGCCAGCATACTATGGCAACATACAAAGCAACGACATCTGGATTTTTCCTAACAACTTTTATTTCTTTGAAGTCTTCCTTGCTTTATGCAAGTAGCAGCTGCCATTGAATAGGATCCAAGATAGGATCTGATTACTTTTCTGACCTCCTCATTAAAATATATATTTTCGGCTCCAAATTAACTTTACTATCTCTCAGTTCTAAATCTTCCCTTTCCAACCATCCCAAACAAGCCACTCTATAGTTCCACATCTGTCTTTGTTCTCTCCCCTGTCCAGGTCCCCAGCCTAGTCTCTGTAAAGGTGTCTCGATGCGGCCAGACTCGACTGCATCTTTTG